AGAACTTCACAATTTTATGGTACTTATATTGGGGAAAGCGGTCTTGATGTATTTGACACTCATATAATGTACAGGAGACGAATGGCTTCAAGAAAAGTACCGGCTAAATTATTGACATGTTGATGGGCTTAAAAAGAATAGAAATATTGTAGTTTTTGACACTCAGCGAAGCATATATTAGGCATCACTATATCCCTGATATACTAACCCGAGAGAAGAAAAATACTATAATACATCAAATATATTAATTTAAAAGATATCTGTGAACTTTTTATATGCATTACTAGAATATATTAATATATCATACAATAAGTAATGCACAAATAAATCTACATTTCTTTTTTAAAATTCATCCCCCTCTATGATATAAGAAAGTAGCAAACTGTATGTGAAAGGACGAACGTAAAGAATGTTCTACTTTTAATGGCCTTAAGAGCGACACGGCTAGCGCGGATGACATATTTGATGTTCCAAAGACGCGAGGCTTTCGCTCGTTGGCATAATTGCCTTTGCTTTCTGGATCTGTCTTCATCGGTAGCTTAACAACTATTCTCAACAACGGGATGTACTCATTCTCAGGCTCTCGCATGTCACTGAAGATCATTGACGAATTTAGTAAATTCGTCCAGTACAAGGGGAGATGATCAAATTCATCACCCCTACATAGAGAATAGAAGACACGACACGTCACACACACACACACACACACACACACACACACACACACACACACAGTGTGGTGGGAAGAGGTAGAAGAGACAGAAAAAGAGAATGACAATGTTCTTCAAGAATTATGGTTAATCTGTTTTTGTTTAAATATATGTGATTTTTATTTAATTAATATATAGTACAAAACAGAAGGGGAAGTGCGGAGGCATGTTAACTCTTTCTATTCTACACCTATCTAATCTGACTCATGAACCATTCACTCTAAAGATTGTCCTCAATCACCACAATAACTCATCCTTCTCCATCCAGTCCAACATGTACCACAATACCACATATTTGAACACATTTCTCCACACTAAAAAACAACACTTTTTTAATTTCATGTGTACAAATATGTGTCTCACTTTTCTACTTTTTAACATATTTTTTTTATAAATATATAAAAATGAACACATGAAACGAAGGGTGAATACAGTAATCAAAATAAAAAAAAACAAAAAAAAAACTTTCAAACAAAATTAAACTTATATTCTAATTACATTCAACCCAATCACATCTTTGCAGAAATTTATCAAAATATTTCTGGCGTTGTGCTCTTTATCCGCCTTCTTCAGGGAGCTGTCGATCAGTTTAACTTTCAAGGAATTTCGAACTGAACACTTTATTTAACTTACGATGCTTAGATTTCTCATTTCGCAGTCATTTTATTCTTATTCAGCACTATTCAGTTATTCAATGGCGGATGTCCCAAGAGCCGAAACGTTGTGATAAAAAAAAATGTGACGTTATATTGAATGTAAATAATATCATGTATATTTTTGTCATCAACATTTTCAAACATTGCTAAAGATTTCTTTATTCCTTTTATTTTTACGCCATTCTGTAGTTTTCCTTGATTGTACACATATGTGTGGTTGTCTTTCTTTATATATATATATATATATATATATATATATATATATATGTGTGTGTGTGTGTGTGTGTGTGTGTGTGTGTGTGTGAAGTGAATTGTGAAAATGAACAATAATATAATCACAGATATTGAAAGGAACATGAAAAAATATTAACGACTTTCCCTTAATACAGGAACTAATTAACTGCAAGATATGCAAAAATAAAAAAGAATTTGAAAATGAACAAATAAGCAAGATAAAACAAATCCATAAAACTATAACGAAATATTGATGAAATTGTGTTTCACTGTAGGAAAAATATTTAACATAAATTAACTTTAATAATTTTTTCAGGAATAAATACAGGAATTTTAATTAACAAATGACTAAATCAACGAAAAAGGATTTATCAATAACTAAATCTTACATGTATAAAAAGATCGTCACTCTCAACCTATGTTTTTTTTCTTTCTTTTCAACAAAGACTTCATATCCGATGTATAGATTTGAGCATCAAACATCTAATTTAATGCCAAAATGTAGATATTTTGAACACAGTTTCATCGCTTCGACTAAATTTATTTTGAAAAACAAATCCAGATGGAATGTAAACTATACACGATTTAATAATTTAATACAAAAATATTGCTGTTTCTTTAAAATTATAGTGTTGGTAATTTTGCTATAAATACATATTATTGGTAATTTTATAATAGATATGCATTATTGTTAAAGTGTTTATATAAACACATGTTACTGGTATTTTGAATATGAAAATGTATTTTCATACTTTCATGATGTTTTCTGTTTGTTGGTGGTACTATTTAATTTTTCCAAGATAGATGTGGGAATAAATTTGTAAAATCTCCAAACTCCCTGTTAGAGGCCTTGGTGCAGGATGAAGTTTATCCACGTAACCAGGCATTTTGGAAGAACAA